GGGCCCCGACAATCACCATTGACACATCGGCCGTGACCTCCCCCTCAAACGAACAGATTCGGCCGCCGGTGCAAATCTTGCCCATCCCGCCGCAACCTTCGCTCCAGATCTCAACCGACAATGTCGATGCGCATGACACCAGTGCTCTCCTGAATAACGGCGGAGTCTCGCCTACCTCCCTTCGCTCGGCTGCCTCCTCCGAAGCCAGAGACTACGAAAGTCGGCCGACGTCGCCGCATAACTTTTCCTCTCCCGCGTCCAAGATGGCCGATTCCATGTCCAATTCGAATTACCTGGCTGTACCGGGAACAAGATCTCGTGGAAATTCGTTGGAGTCGCAGGACTCGAATCAATCGTCTAGCTCGTATGGAGGAGATACATACGCACCGACTGCATCGCATGGATCCAACACAGACTTGACGCAGAACACGATTGTGAACGATGAGGATGCCCTGAAGCCCGACCCAGGCCGGGAAGCTGAGTTCGAAGTGGAAGACAACAAATTCGCCTTCTCACCTGGCCAGTTGAACAAGCTTTTAAATCCAAAGAGCCTTGGAGCCTTGCATGCTCTCGGCGGGCTTCGTGGAATTGAGAAAGGACTGCGCACGGACACTCGCAGTGGCTTAAGCTTAGACGAGAACGAACTGGACGGTGTTGTGAGCTTTGAAGATGCCACGGCCTCACAGACGACCCAGGCCACGCCCAAGTCCTCTTCTCCCCCGCCTCAGCATCACACATCAGAGGGATCGAACGCCGCGAAACCTTCCGACGGTTCGTTTACGGATCGGATCCGCGTCTATGGGACGAATAAACTCCCGGAAAGGAAGGCCAAAAGTTTCTTGGAGTTGGCCTGGATCGCATATAATGACAAGGTGCTGATCTTGCTGACGATAGCTGCCATCATATCCCTTGCTTTGGGCATCTACCAATCTGTGACAGCCACCGGCAAAGAGGCCCGAGTGCAATGGGTTGAAGGCGTTGCAATCATCGTGGCTATTCTGATTGTCGTTATTGTAGGAGCTGCGAATGACTGGCAAAAAGAACGTCAGTTCGTCAAGTTGAATAAGAAGAAGGATGACCGCCTAGTCAAGGTGATCCGCTCCGGAAAGACCTCAGAGATCTCGGTGCATGATGTCCTTGTGGGCGATGTCATGCATCTAGAACCCGGTGACATGATTCCAGTAGACGGGATCTTCATCGATGGCCACAATGTCAAATGCGACGAGTCCTCGGCTACTGGCGAGTCGGATGTTCTTCGGAAAATGTCTGCCGATGATGTATACCGCGCCATCGAGCAACACGACAACGTCTCAAAGCATGACCCGTTCATCGTTTCTGGTGCCAAGGTTTCCGAAGGTGTGGGAACATTCCTGGTTACTGCGGTTGGTGTCAATTCGACGTACGGAAAGACAATGATGTCGCTTCAAGACGAGGGCCAAACGACTCCACTGCAGTCTAAGTTGAATGTACTCGCCGAGTACATTGCGAAGCTTGGTCTCGCCTCTGGGTTGCTCCTATTCATTGTTCTTTTCATCAAGTTCCTCGCACAGTTGAAAGACATGGGAGGTGCCTCCGAAAAGGGTCAGGCTTTCCTGCAGATATTCATTGTTGCTGTGACTGTAATTGTTGTTGCTGTTCCGGAAGGTTTGCCGCTCGCGGTTACTCTTGCGCTTGCCTTCGCTACTACTCGAATGCTCAAGGATAACAACCTTGTAAGATTGTTGCGAGCATGTGAAACCATGGGCAACGCGACCACTATCTGCTCCGATAAGACCGGTACCTTGACAGAAAACAAGATGACTGCTGTCGCTGCCACTCTGGGTAAGAACCTCCGCTTTGGCGATAAATCATCAGGGCCAGCCCTCCGTGCGGACGATGACCGAGGCCGGGACCCGGTGACCACCGTCTCTCCCTCGGAATTTTCTTCCAGCCTTTCTGGCCCAGCCAAGGACTTGTTGATCGAATCGATTGCAATCAACTCAACGGCATTCGAAGGAGAGCAGGATGGTACCGCAACCTTTGTCGGCTCTAAGACCGAGACGGCACTCTTGGGATTCGCTCGGACGTACCTAGGAATGGGCTCAGTTAGTGAAGCACGGGACAACGCGACTATTGTGCAGATGGTGCCTTTCGATTCCGGACGTAAGTGCATGGCCGTGGTCATCAAGATGGAGAATGGAAAGTATCGGATGTTGGTCAAGGGCGCATCAGAAATTCTGGTGGCCCGTGCGACCAGAATTGTTAGTGATGCGAGGAAAGATCTTACTGAAGTGTTCATGTCAGATGAGGACCGGACTGTCATGGACAAACTCATTGACCACTATGCCTCTCATTCGTTGCGGACTATTGGTTTGGTCTATCGTGATTTTGACCAGTGGCCTCCGCGGGGTGCAGCCACCCAGGAAGAAGATCGCTCACTTGTTGCCTTTGATTCAGTCTTCAAGGATATGGTCATACTAGGCGTTTTCGGTATCCAGGACCCGTTGCGCCCAGGCGTAACAGAATCGGTGCATCAATGTCAACGTGCGGGCGTTTTCGTGCGGATGGTGACTGGTGACAACATTACGACTGCAAAGGCCATCGCTCAAGAGTGCGGAATCTTCACGCCAGGAGGAATCGCCATTGAGGGGCCTAAATTTCGTCAATTGAGCAGTCGACAGATGACCCAGATCATTCCTCGATTGCAAGTACTAGCCCGATCGAGTCCCGATGACAAGAAAATCTTGGTGACTCAGCTTAAGAAGCTTGGTGAAACTGTCGCAGTGACTGGTGATGGTACCAATGATGCACAGGCCCTCAAGACCGCTGATGTTGGTTTCTCCATGGGTATTTCCGGTACTGAGGTTGCGAAGGAAGCTTCCGACATCATTCTGATGGACGACAACTTCACCTCCATCATCAAGGCTATGGCTTGGGGCAGGACTGTCAACGATGCTGTCAAAAAGTTCTTGCAGGTACAGTATCCCCTTGACTTATTAATAATAGCAAGCAGAAGCTAATCGTCACTAGTTCCAACTCACTGTTAACGTGACAGCGGTCCTCCTTACATTTATCTCTGCTGTCGCAAGCGGTGACGAAGAGTCGGTCTTGACCGCGGTGCAGCTTCTCTGGGTCAACCTCATTATGGACACTTTCGCTGCTCTCGCTCTGGCGACGGATCCGCCTTCTCCTCATGTTCTCGATCGCAGGCCCGAGCCAAAGTCCGCGCCTCTCATCACTCCAACCATGTGGAAGATGATCATCGGACAGAGTATCTATCAGTTGGTCGTCACGCTTGTCTTGAACTTTGCTGGAAATTCGATCTTCCATTACCACACAGAGAAGGACACTTCGCACATGCAAACGGTCGTGTTCAACACATTCGTCTGGATGCAGATCTTCAACCAGTGGAACTCTCGCCGTCTCGATAACAATCTTAACATTTTCGAAGGAATGTTGAAGAACGCATGGTTTATTGGAATTCAATTGATCATCATTGGAGGACAGATTCTCATTATCTTCGTTGGTGGTCAAGCTTTCTCGGTTGTGCGGCTCAATGGGCCTCAATGGGGCGTGTCTCTGGTCTTGGGAGTCATCTCCCTTCCAGTAGGTGTGATCATTCGCTTGATACCAGATGCTCTCATTGCCAGGCTTATCCCCACCTTCTGGCACCGCAAGAAGGGTCCTGAGCTTTGGGTCTCTGACGAGGATCGCCGCTTCGAGTGGAATCCTGCTCTAGAGGAGATCCGGGACCAGTTGAAGTTCCTTAAGACTGTTCGCGGAGGCCGTCTCCGCCACTTGAAGCACAAGCTACAACACCCCGAAGAACTTCTTCCCAGATCGCGAAGCGGATCACGGTCCTCCAGATCTCGAGAGAACTCGATCCCTGGAACACCTGTGGAGAACAATAGTGACAGCACTCCGCCCATGCCAGCGACCCCGGAATCACGATCCAGACGACGCACACGGTCTCGCTCCAATTCAGCATTCGGGCCAGCGGCTGCCATGGCCGGTGTTGTGGCGGGTAGTATTGCGGGCTGGTCCCCAATCGAACGAACGCAGGGAGATGGCGAGCCTTTTAGGATTCAGGCCGACAGCCCCCATGGAGGCCTAGACAAGCAACAGGGCATCGAGATTCATCCGGACACTGCTGCGGATGACCAAATCGTGGGCAACTTCAAGGGCCCCTCGAAGACACCTCCGAGCCAAAACCCTGATCTTTTACCCCATTTTGATCACGTCCCGCCTGAGCGTGCGCCATCCAGCCGCAGCCGACGGTCTACGTCACGTCAGTCTCAATCCAGTCAAAGCCATGTCTGAGCGTCCCGCGCTATATTGCCTGTGCAATACTAGATTCTGTTGTCCTACTTCACTTCAAATGATTCCACGCTCGGTTCATTCTCGCCTGTGTATACTTATTTCCTCTTCCTCATACCCTGTTGTCATTCGAGATTCTTTGTTTTGCCCACGCCGAACTTTGCTGTTTTGCCAGTCTTGAACTTAATCTGCGTACTTTCTGCAGAGGTCCCTCTAGCCTTGCTTTACCTGTTTGTGTCATAGCATCGTTGTCTTCACAATTCCAATCATATCCCAGGGAAAGGTGTCTCGGTCTCGGCGTATGTGCTTTCAAAAGGGGATTGGCTGTTTCTGCTTTTTCACTTCGTTTGTTTGTTAGACACTCCTTCCTCTCGCATAGGGATGGGCGGCGGCCTGAGCGACAAAAAGGGCAAGATTATTCTAATTGGTTTTGTGTTTCCAGTTTTCAAAGATAGCCTATCTTACCTTGTACATAGTGTACTTTTGCTGCTCACTGATATGTCTATATGCCCTGCTTGATGTCTACTGCTTGCAAGCAGGGCGAGGGAGAATCCGATGGATGATCTACTACGGTTCTCATGGTGTTCATGTTGAAATCACCATATTTAGGCCATCATTCGTATGTCTTTGTAGGGTTTTCGACACCAAAATCTATGCACACCGAAATTGACAGAAAGATATAAACTTGCTTTCACACTAACCCGCCAGAAGTAATCACCATAGACGGCATCCACCAAGCCACTGCCATCGACGTATCTCACATCTCACCAGGTGGTCAGCGGCCCATGAACCTGATCTCCAGCAGTCTCAAGGGCGGGAAAGCCAAGGCGGTAAAGCCCATCCCCAGCCAAATCCCCAAATCGCATCCCTCCGCAATCGCTGCCGCCACGGGGCCTGTAAAATAAGCTTGATCCTGATCAAAGTCATCAGCAATCATTGAACTTCACAATGTCATGCACAGAGGTAGGACTGGGGGGGGGGGAGAGAGAGAGGGTGAGGTACCATGCCAACAATAGCTCCTATCCAACCGACGAGAAAAGCGATACTGGCCGCAATGCCCACGGGAAGTCTGAGTCGATCGTTCCACGCGTCCCAGTCATAGCCCCGGCCGCGATTGAAGAGGAGGTCCTCTTGCACCACGATCGTGAACCAGATCACCGCCCAGTATCCGATCAGCGGCATCACGCTGCGGAAGATGTCGTACAGGGAGTCTCGACCGCCAATGGCACACGAGGCGTACACCAACGTGCTGGCGGTGGTGTAGACGGGGCGCGGGAATTTGCGCCAGACATTGCCCAGCATCTGGAAATTCATCCCCGTCGAGTACGACGCCGGCGCGTTGTTGGAGACGATCGTCAGGACGTTGATCACGGCACAGAGCCTCCCCAGGGGCCCCAGTCGATCGTACCCGGCCATCAGCAGGCTTCCCGGCGTGCCGTCGTAGATCGACCTCCACCGGGCACTGTGTGCCACCCCACTGCCCAGACCCGCACCCAGAAGCAGGGTCACGGTGAACGCGAGGCTGGCGCCGATGGTCGTCACCGTCCAGATCTTCCATCGCTTGATATCCGGCGAGTAGTACACGTGATAGTCGGCCGCGACGGGCACCCACGACAGGGGAATCGATAGACAGAGCGAGAAGAACGCCAGCCGTTTCGCGTTGATCTGCGTGGTCGTTCCGACTGACGGGCTGTCGAAGTCGAACTGAGGGCCGGCCGACCCGGTGAGGAGCGAAAAGACGATCAGCTGTGGGAACCATGCATACCTTTGGGGAGGTTTGCGAGTATGGATGTCAGTCGGGTGGGCACTCGGAAATGTCAGGGATTAGTCAATTCCTTACCTCTCATAGTATTGGAAGATCTGCATCCCAAAGGTGGCCATCGTCCAACTCGCCAATGCTACGATGACGATTCCAACGATCACTGATACACCCCCGCCGGATAGCTTGGATAGTAGTTGGCCTCCTACCGTCGCGCTCATCATCCCGGTGCCCAAACATGAAAGCACATTCAATACGCAGCATACTTTGGTGGGGTAATACCCCATGAAGAACCGGGACACGATCTAAGAGGAAGAGAGGGGCTGTAAGTCAGCTGCATTGATGATGGGGGAGGCTTGTCAAACAGTGCAATATCGAAATGCTTCTGACATCGCTCGAGAGGTAACTCATACCAGTGTGCGATTTCCACTTTGCGGGCCCCAAGTGCTCATGTAGCCAATCGCCAGACTCCCGAGTAGCGTGCTGAATATCACACATAGCGCACAATCGGTGAAGCTCAGCTTCATGACCAGCGTCCCCAGCGATCCGGTGATCGTGTTATTCATTGCCATCCCCATGCTCAGCCACGTCAGGAACATCTCAAACGATGTAAACTTGGTGTTCTTCATTCGTTCCTCCAGCGGTACCGGCTCGATGCCTCGGGTCTCGAGCCCTTTGATGCACCTTGTCCATCGTTGATATCTCGACTCGCGTTTATCCGGGAAGGGTCTTTCGGCTCCGGACTCGTCATGTGTCACAGTCACACTCGTCTGCAGGGACGAACATGCTCCCTGCTTTTCGATCTCAGGTTCCATTGGGGTGGGCTTCGGAGGATTGTCTCTCTGGTGCGTGCGAAGGGGATGCCGTCTTTCGCACAGCCTTCCTTTTCGCCTTTTTTTCCCGCAACAACAATAACAAGCCGAGTACAACTAGGAACCAACCCCAGTATATAAGTGATCTTCGGAGACAAACCACAATCAGAAGCAGGATCAACGGCAGACACAGCAGGCGGGTGCAACTTCACCTTCTTTTTTCTTACCCCCGGGCAGGTCACTAGACTGACATCACCCTTTGTCCTTGGTCGTGCAACCCCGTCCGCGCTACTTTCTCTATCGACATTCCTCAACCCTCCCGCTAGAGCTGGGGCCCTGTCCTCACCCTCCTTAGCCTGATCAGAGGGTTGCGTTACACCCGCTCGCCTCCCCCGGTTCTATACTCTTCAGGAGACGAAGGGGTTAGGTATCCATGAGGAACATCGAAGAAGAACCAAACCCTGAGAAAGGGGACGCCTCGAGCCCCTTTCTACGCATTGTCATCGCGTGTGTGAATGTCACCAGCCTTTTTTTCTTGCTTTCTGATCTCATAGGTTGAAGGGTGGTGTGGTTTCTTTCTTCGCAACGGAGAAAGTCATGTGGCTGGAGGGTGACCACATACCATTGTTGATATTGCCATTTTAAGCTCTACTATACATTCCAACGGAATGCTCCAACCATGTAAGGGGAAGGAGCCATTACAACGTGATCCTGGGAAAGCAACAAACCTGTTTGGCTTTCTTATGAGTAGCAGATGCATCTCTCTTTTTGGGGGGGGGGGGGGGGTTCCCTTAATATCGCGTGGAAGATCATCGATTTGCCCCCAATCGTGGGGTAAAAAACAGCCGGAAAGGTGGGTTTACTTTCTGGCTGGATCATGAACCGGAAAATCGGGAGGTATGGAAGATGAGCTCATGGTATTCTTTTTGACTCTCTCTTGAGAGAGACTCACATGGGCCTGTGACGTTTTTCTCCGAGTTATCGCCTACTTTCAAACGGTTGGCTGATCGCGTGAGGCCAGCTGCGGCATCGGATCACTATGCCGCGTCAGGCTTGACAACCTGTGCATACTCTGATGTGGACTCGCCAAGCCCTGTCTGTACTGGGAGTAAATGTTCCGGGGATGCATCCTCGGTCTGTGGGATATTGTGTCCCTGCTCTCTGCTTTCTACTCATGTGCTTTCTCGACCATTGTTCCCACAAAGAGTCAAGCTCTTAGTTGTCGGCCCTGACGTGATATTTCAGCCTCGTCATTGGATGTTGAAGTGCTTTATAGTATGTATCTACCTAGAGCGAGATATTCATATGTTATCAGCTCCAATTTGTCAGTTGTACAATGCTCGTCGTCGAGAGGAGCTACTCTAAGCTGGTGCAGCGCACATCAGGCGATGCACAAACTCTCTAGCAGTTACTTTCGGGTTGAACAGGGGAGCCGTCTGTGGCCAAAAGCTTGTATTGCTATGGTCGCTTCGCATCAAGGAAAGTAGCTTGCTTTCGCTGAATGGGATGGCAATATGGAGGCATCACCAGTGTCTATTACCACGACGCAGGTGTGAGGGTTCGCAATGTGAAGAAAGCTCACCGCCTTGGCCCGCCGGCGGATGCGGAGACTGAAGATGCAGCCCCAGGCCCCAGGGCAGCCACTAACTTACAGAACTATTGCCCTAGACCCGTGACCCCGGATAATCCATGGAACTCCCATCGGTCCTTATCCGCCACGGTACCCGCTAATCTATCATCCCTCGGAGCCTGTGCGGAGTCTCCACCAAGGTTATCCTAGACTTGACATTTCCCCCATATCATATCAATCTACGAGCCTCTGTCAGAGCAATTGAGCAGAGATTGCGAGCCGGCCACCGAAAAGCCGATGGCGAATGCTACGGAGAACTCTTCCGAGTGGAAGGGGCCGTCGCTGTTCTCTTCAGGCGCCTCGTCTCATCCCTACGTGACATACTTCATTCTCGCCATAACTTCGTATGTCACTCTGGTGAATCTTCTGCGGTTTCGCATAGTGAAATGGATGCACAAGCAATACAACTATCCCACGCGCGAGTCCTTCGCTCGCATGACCGATGATGACGCGTGGGCGATTCAGAAAACCATGCTAGAGCAGGAATTTCCTTTCTTTTACCTGAAGTCCCTCCAATTCGCACTATTCCGAGTTAGTCTTCTTCTTTTTTTATTTTTTATTTTTTTATTTTTTTTCGTTGCGACATTCTGTGCCATCTGAGACCACTGACAACTCCCCGGTACAGACCTACGGCATCCCGACCATCTCTAAGCTGCTCGCGGGCACGGCACAGTTCTCGAAGCCGGAGACCTCCCTGAAGCGCTACGCTGACACGGTGGTCTTGATCCAGGAATTTATGGGCAATGCTCCATCGTCTCACCGTGCTCGTATCGCCATCGCGCGCACCCGCTGGATGCACAGTGGGTATCGCGCCTCGGGTGAGATCCTCGAGGATGACATGCTGTACACGCTAGTTCTTTTCGCCGTGCAGCCCGTCCGATTCCTGGAGAAATACGAATGGCGAGGCACGACTGACCTGGAGAGATGTGCCATCGGTACCTTCTGGAAGAGCGTTGGCGATAACCTCAACATCAGCTTCGATGCCCTGCCGTCAGGCAAGAATGGATTTCAGGACGGCTTGCATTGGTTGGAGGAGGCGATTGCCTGGGCGGATGCCTACGAAGCGAAGTGCATGGTACCCCATGTCAAGAACCGAGAAACGGCCGACCAGACCACGGAAGTGCTGCTGTACATGGTCCCTGAAGCTTTCAAGCATGTTGGGCTGAAGTTTGTGTCCTATATGATGGACGACCGTCTGCGAAAAGCTATGATGTAGGTTTCCCATTCGCCCCGCTTGGGCGCCCCTGTGCTACCTCAAGACTCGCGACATCATCTGAGTAACGTCGCTGACCCGGTTGGATGTTACTTCTAGGTACGACCCGCCTCCGACAGCATATGCTCGGGTCTTCGCGGGCTTGCTGGCCGTGCGCCGGTTTGCGATGCGCCACCTCGCCCTTCCCCGGCCATATATCTTGCGGTATAAGACTTTCACGGATGTGGACGAGCATGGTCGCATCTTCTCCACGGAATGGGATGCAGCGCCTTACTACGCGAAACCCACGTTGCGGAACCGCTGGGGTCCAGTCGCCTGGTTGACCTGGGCTTTCGGCCGGCCTTTACCTGGTGATGAAGGAAAGAAGTATTATCCGCAGGGCTACTACGTCCCTGATGTAGGCCCGAAGTACTTTGAAGGACGGGGCCGGAAAGATCTGCAGCAGATCACAGAGGAGTTGGAGTCTTCGCGGAGGGGACAATGTCCTTTCATCTAAGATACTCCAGCCAATGAAAAAACTGACCTTCTGAAGTTCTGATCACAGCTCTGGAATTGACAGTATTCGGCCTGATTGTTTGGTTTCATCTTCCAGGCGGTTGTGACGAATATCGAAAATCGTTCAGGTCTATCACTCAGTATCAAAAATAATAAATCTGTCATATTTTTCCAACTAATACGATGTCTGAACTCTAAATCAGCAGCAAACTGCCAGACCCCCTTAGCGCGAATTGAAATTATCCAAGACCGCAAAATCCTTTGCGACTTCCCAGATGGCTTCGATCTGCCTCACAACCTCACCTTCGAGGGGCCCCTTCTCCAGGGCCGTCAGAGTCTGATCCAACTGCTCGACACCACTCGCCCCCGCAATAATCGCATCACCAAGCTCCCCGTCCAACGCGGAATGATACGCCACCCACCGGTACGCTAACTCGGCCTTGGAGATTCCCGCCTTCTCCGCGACCTCGTTCCAAGTGTCCAGGACCCTCAACATCTCCGGCTTCATGTAGAGACCCCGATAGACCTTTCCGAACCCGGAGTCCGGATCCCAGCGGCCGCCGGACCCGCTCGCAGTCCGGAGCTGCTCGCTCGTCTTGGTCAGGAACCCGCCGGCGATGGGGCTATACGCGTAGAACCGGATGCCGTGCTCGCGCAGCAAGGGAAAGAGGCTCGACTCGATGAGACGCGAGATGGCGTTATAGTTCCCCTGGTAAACGGTCGGGCGCACATAGTCGTGTTCCTGACAGAGGCGGAGGACTTCTTCGGTCTCCGCCGCGGTGAAGTTCGACAGGCCGAAGTGCTTGAACTTGCCGGCGTGGTAGAGGTCGTTGATGCCGGCGAGAGTGGGCTCGATGGGGGCGGTGCGGTCGGGGGCGTGGATGTAGAAGATGTTGACCTGGAGGGGGTTATGGTAAGCTTCGCTTATCTCTCTGCTGTGACTGTCGACAGCTTGGGGGAAAGGTGGGAGGGAGGTGCATACCGAGTCAGTGTTCAACTTCCTCAAGCTCTCCTCTGCATCTGCGATGACCGCCTCTCGCGATGCGCGTCCCGGCCGGAACCCCCCGCCGTGCTTGGTGTCGATGTCGAAGTCCTGCGCTGCGGCGTTGGCCTGGCCCAGGAGTTCCTCGCTGCGGCCGTAGATCTGCGCCGTGTCGATTTGGGTGATGTCGTGACGCTTCAGAACTTGGAGGATCTCGGTGGTCTTCTCCGCGGTATTGAGCTTGCTGCTGTCGTTGACGAGGCCGGCGCCAAAGACGATTTTGGCTCGCGAGGTAGACATTATGATTAGGGGCAATTGATTGTCTTGGTAATTGATGCTGTTAGAGGATCGCTAAAGAGGATGCGCTTGAATAATCTCTGATTTCGGCTCATGGTTTGTCCAGAGTGTGATCCTTATTTATACGTCGTGAACTTGGTACCAATACTCGTATCTTTGGGAGTGGTATAGATGGGGGCTTGGTATGTATGGACTAAGCGCAGTGCCATTTGTAAGCTACCACTATATTTCGATTTCAAAGCGACGGTTGCTAGCACCTTCGTTTGTATTCTGTCAGATTTTGAGGGGCTGTATGGGGTGATTCTCCTGCGGGGGTAGAGGGGAAAAGATGTTGTTTGGAGATCCTCTATTCGAGGTTGAGTGTCTACATTATCTACATAGTACATAGTATGTCCTTTAGCTAGTATGTGGGTCTGTACGGAGTAGAATACTTCGGGATTCTAGGCGATTTCTGAGGTCCCCCGTGATTGAGGCGTTGGGAGTGCCTTGAGCTATCGGCATGAATTGCAACTGTCCTTTACATATGAGTGCCTCTGATAAAGCTCTAGCTTGGCCCTACTGCTAATGAAGATATAGCAACGGAATCTGTAGCAGCGGGGTGGGTGTGAACCGAAAAGTTCTTGCGCAGAAGTGGTTGAGGAGAACTACTATGTACTGCAGTAGAAGCCGGCCAGCCAAGGCTGCTCCATCGTCACGGAAGCTTCGAAGAAGATTACATAAACCCAGCAAGCAAAGCATCTCCCCGCAAACGCAAACGCCGACGGGGCAATCGGTGATCT